CGCGACCCCCCCCCCTCTAGAACCAGTGTGTGTGTGCGTGGGGGGGGGGGGGGGGGGCAGGGGGAAGAGGTCAAGACCCCCTCCCCGCTCGCAAGCTGTCTCGCTCACCTGTCCCCGCCCGCCAACAGTAATACCCGGGCTTCAGCATGTTCAGCGGTCGTCCGTGGATGGGCAGCTATTGGGGACCAAAACAGACCCTATGCGCGCGATGGGGCGAAGTGCGCCGCGCGTGCCAGGCGCCCCAGGTGCGCCAGGCACCCCTGTGGCCCAAGCGTGTCAGGCACGCCGCGCGCGCCAGGTGCGCCACGTGCTTCACGTGCGCCATGTCTGCCACATGGTCCCGCCGCGCCAGGTGCGCCACGTCTGGGGCACGCGCGGAGTGTGCCAGGTGCGCCCGCACACGTGGCAACACTTATCGGGCAACATGTCGGCCTCCACCATCCTAGTCGAAACCCAGTGCGTAATTGTGGCGGGGGGACCATGATGATGTTTGGTGGGTTTGCGCACAGCAGGCAATATGCAAACAACCCCGCTGCCCTTGTCAGAGACCAATTGGCAATGATCGCGGGGTGGCCGCGCAGGGTCCATATTCAGCCGCGAAGTGCCTGTTGCATGGTTTTCGGACAGGGGTGGGGGTCTTGCGAAAAACAGGCAGTATGAAGGCGCACCCCCCGTCCCCGTCAACAACCAATGCAAAGTGCTCGCGCTGCCAACGAGCATGACCCAAGGTTTTGCCCCAACGTGTGCTCCGTAACGTCCCAGAGGGCTGGTGGGATTCCGTTACTTGTTTTTCTAGTTGCGGTTGTTTCTTGCCTTCAACGTTTTGAATTATTGTGCAGGTGTTGGATTAGTTCGGTCTTAGACAGAGTGTCTGTGTTCGCCGCTTCCAGGCCCATGGCCCGTTAGAATCATGGAGAGAGCCGAGATAACAGGTCTCGGGGCAGGGATCGGCATGTCGAATGGCTGGCTGTGTTTGTTTCTGCCTATGTTTAAGAGAGGAGGGACCTAGTGCACCCGACGTCAGGAACAGCTCGTGGCGACATTTGCTTTGCTTGTGGCCTACGGGATCCAGTTTCTGGGCCCTGGGACCGTTAAGCCGTTGAGAGGGGCCAGGGTCCTGCTGGAGGCGCAGGTCAAGAAAGCCCATTCCCTCGGGCGGGTGAGAACAGGCATGACTCGTTCCAGAGCGCTTCAGAATACTCTCAGGCCGCGGCGAAACATCCTCCAGAAACGCAGGATCTCAGAAATCCCCGATTTGCCCCAGTTCGATCTTGTCCCGGTCCTGACCTCCAGTTCCCAGTCCCCCGATGCCATGATCTTCTCATAACATGGTCCACAAGGTGTCCGACCCCATCCCCAGAGACTGGCTTTGCAGCTTGAGTCCTTTTTTGACTGTTCCTGGGCCCGGCGAGGGCCCCTACAGGCCAAAATAAGCATACACCGTCGGCTTTGTTTTTCATTACCCGAGGGGGTGTTGGCTGTTGTCACACGACGGCCGATTGAGAGAACTTGTTAGTCCGTTCTTCTTCCTTTCTTGGCCTCGCCTTACCATGTTGGCAGCGCGCAGAGGGGGGTATGGGGGATGGTGGAAGGCTTCTTAGAAGGAGGCTACTTCTTAGAAGGCGCTGGCCCTACCCAGAAGCAGTCTCCTCAGAAGCCTTCCCCCCTCCTCCTCCCCCCTGTGCGCGCCGCCAACCTAGTCGTTCTACCAACATTGTACGCGTTTGTCTTGAATTCGATGAGAGAATGAGTTTTACGTTCGTCAACTCTGTAGCCCTGGCCTCCTTTGATTCGTGCAGAGGGCCTCTCCGCCGCCGGCTGCGCCCGGAGCCTTCGGCGGTTCTCGGCGGGGCGCGCCCCTCGAGCCACCAAAAATCACGACGGGAGCGGGGGGCGGGGGCGGGGGAGGACGTGTGTCCGCCGTCTCCGTCGTTCGTTCGCCTGTCGTCCGTCGTCTTCGTCGTCGGGTCCTGTCGTTGCTCTGCTCTCTGCCACTGGGCCCTCGTTTCGCTGGTACACGCGTGTGTCTGTGTGTTTGTGGTTTTGTGAATGTGTGTGCGTGCGTGTGGAGGGGGGGGGGGCGCGCGCGCGGCATTCCAAGAAGGCGGCGGGGGTCTCAGAAGGCAGAGGCCTCCGTAGAAGGGCTCCAAGAGGGTCTCCTAGAAGGCAGGGAGGCTTCTGGGATGCCCACGGCCTTCCAGGAAGCCCTGCTAAGGTGCCTCGGAGCCCTCCAAAGGAGGCCGTTGCCTTCTAGGCAGGAAGGCTTCAAAGGAAGACTCGGGCTTTTAAGGAGGTCTCTAAGAAGGCAGGAAGGCTTCTGAGAGGGCCCCCTGCCTTCTAAGAAGCCCCCCCCCCGCTTTCTTGGAAGGAAGGCCGCCCCCGTCGCCACCATCCGCCTGTGCGCGCCGCTAAGGGTGGCGAGGATCTCCGCGGGGGCTGGCGCGATTATCGGGGGAAGCATAAGCATGGATTAAGGCGCGTGGATGCCGACAGGTTCCGTTTTCGTGCAGATGCGGTGCGCTCCGTCGCCAAATCAGGCGACATTGGTCTCATGTTCCTTGGCCTTCTCAATGCATGGATTTGGCGCCACCGTGCCAGATGCAAGGATCCTTAATCCATGGTCGCGTGTGTCCGAGATGTCGCTCGGCAAGCCCGGAATCTTACCTCGGCCTCCCCCCAGGCAGTTAACAGTTTTTTTCAAGAAGACAGTTGCCAGAGTTTATGCGAACGCGCACAAGCATCCTTATCACGCGCATCGGCATTCCTCGTCACCGTCGTCACCGTTACCGTCGTCATCATCATCACCACCATCATGATAGGCATCAGATTCATCACGCTCACACGCGCCGTCATCTTCACCACCGTCGTCGTTATCTTCGTCATCATCGTTGTCGTCACCCTCGTCATCGTCGCCACCTCCATCATCGCAGTCGTCGTTACCGATATCGTCATCGCCATCATCATTCGCCCGCCAGAGTCGTGGATCTGCAGGATAGGGGTCGCCGCGTGGTTGCGCCCGTTGCGGGTGATCGGGTGATGTTCGACAGGTTGCAGATGAATTGGCGGGATGTTTGCTAGAGCCCTGGAGTTGGCGATTATCGCACCCCACCGGTTTTTATCGTCACCACTTGCGTCTACGACGGCGACTACTACGTTCATTACTGCTACTTCCATTGCTGACCCCATTGTATGGACATTTGCAACGGACAGTCGGTGTTTTGTACCGCATCCTTTCGACTGCGCCCCGCGTCCTGCTTTGCATAGGTTGCACCCCACAGTTTGCATCATACAGCTCATACCACACATTTACACAGCAACACTGCAGTGCATATATCCTCATGTCAAAAGAAGATAGGTTCGGGCCCCGCGGGAACATTTCAAATAACAGATGATTAGGCCTCATCGCCCATATTTCATATGCCTGGCGACCAGTTGCAGACCCCCTTCACCCCTGTCGACAGAAGCGACTGCGACTTCTCTCAAATGACCATTCTACAAAAGAACCTTGAAATTCACCACACCAAATTTACAAGCGCGCACACATGCCGAAGTCATACCAAACAAATTCGTTGCGCAAGCGTTTCAACACACAGTCGAGGCGCTGAAGTAAGGACCACTCTGATTTTCAGACCGTTCCTTAGGTCTAGGTCTGAAAACCCAGTCGCAGCCGAGGCTCGCCGTGGCCAGGATAGCTCCATCGTTTCTTATCTAGCCTTCTTTTTTGCAGTGCCATGGATGTAAGCAAACACATCGAACACCACGGACGTTTCCAACACAAGTTGCGCAGGATCTCTGACCGCGCGCACTTGCTGAAACTTGAGATAAACCACACCATTTCAGCAAACTCGTCCAGAACCCTCATGCTCATCTCACCACGCGGTGCACGGGCGTTGGTCTAGCCTGCGCCCAGCGCATACATCCGTATCAATTGCAACCATCCGGGCCACGCGCGCGCCGCCCCGCCTGGTGAACTCATTCCAACACCAGTTGTTTTCGACACATTCCAAGATACAGCCCTTTCGCAACCTGCGATTCAGAATGTTCATCCGACAAAGCGTATGCCAGATTCCTTGAATGCTTGCGCGCGCAATTCCGCACTATCACCCTCATCAGTGCCAGCGCATCACCGCCGTCATCGCCATCTCCAGTCGCCTGCAGTGCCGCCATCTTCAGCACAATCAACTTCACCATCGAGGCACGGATCTCATCATCATGATCGTCGTCACCATTTTCGGCGACGTCTTTGTTTGGAGTTGCCGTCGTCTCAACATTACCACGCCATCGGTATTATCATCAACGGTTCCTCCGTTGTCGACATCATCCTGATAATGCGCCCTCCCGAGTCGGCGTTTCATGCCTTTGACACGGACTGGGAAGTTTCCATCGGCAAGCGCCATCGCGGCCGCATGAGTTGTGCCACAACAGCTTGTCGCCCTGCGCGCGAGCGTTCGCGCGCCAACGCGGCCGCAGAGATGCGCTAGCACGTGGAAAATCGGCAACGGTAGTCGTGGCCGAATGGTTTTTCCGTCAACCAGGCTGCAGGGGGGAGGGTGGGATGGTTGCGCGAGCAGTGGGGCTGACAACTTACACGTTGGCAAACTTTAATCGCACCACGTAGATTGCGCCACGCGTGCTGCATCCCATGTATTGCACCACGCAGGGTGCACACCAGGTGCAGTAACCCATTTTGTTGGGATGTCCACGCTGGCGAGCATGAGTTACTTGGGTCGCTTCCCCCTACCATCCCCCGCACATGAACGTCCTTCACCATTTTTCTCACCACGTGCGCCCCTGAGCTCCCTGGACCCTATTCCCAGCACCCGTCTGTCGTCGCGGGTCGTGGTTTGATGATTTCAGTAGGCCAGGAAATGGTGGTCGAAGACCCCAAGCTTTTGCAACACGGAGCCCAGGCGGTCGTGATGTTGTGAGGACGCTGGATGCCCCGGGGGGCGTCAGGTCGCCCCCCTCACCCCGCCGCAACACGGGCCGACGATCGCCAGGCGCCGCCGCCTGTGTCTTCAAGGGCGCGGCTCGCCGCCCCCCCGCAGCTGGGAGGCGTCGGGTCTGCGCTGAGGACGGGCGGGTGGGGCCTCGATACACGGAGAAACGATAGTCACTGTTTGTTAGTTGTGCATCGGTCAGTTAGGGCCCAATGCCACGATTCCAGGTACGCATGTTCAATGCGAACGGATGTTCGCGACTACGTGCGTCTTGTGTACATATCGGTTGATGCGGTACGCACGGACGTATCAATGGCCAAACGTGACGTGCAATGTTTTGTACACTCCCCCAGCCCAACTTACATCATCGTTGCCATTTGCCCGCGCATTCGCGGGGAAGTTATTGGGTTCTAGTACTTAGCTTCTCCGAGTTTCCGTGTAAGTCTCGCGTGGAGGGAAGCAACCCCTCAACGGAAGGCCTCCGAGTGGGACATGGTCGGCCATCAAAGTCGATCGGGTAATCTTGGATCATCTTGGCCAATTGAGCACCATTTTGGGGCGTTTTGGTGCAAGATGCAGGCCGTCTTATGACTTGGCGCGAGTTGACCCGCATTCTAGGGCCGCTTTGGGGCCCTAATGGGCGCCGCCAAAACGCCCCACGTGCGCCTCCAGAGGCCCCTCCAAAGGGCCCCAGAAGCTGAAAGTTATAAATTTTCCGATGGTTTTTGAAGCATTATTGCGATCTCCCATGCCTCCCCAAGGTCCCGGACCGCGTCAGAGGCCCTTCAGATCGCTCCAAGACGGCCGCAGAGGCTCCCAAGAAAGCCCAGAGACGGCCCTGGAGGCTCCCCAGATAAGTCAAGAGGGCCTCGAGAGCGCCCCAAGAGAGCCCCAAGAGCGACCCAAAGGGCCCGAAGAGCGCGACATTTCAAGGTCTCCGGCCTGAGAGGCTCTTAGGACGCCCCCGGAGGCCATCAAGAGGCTCCCAAGAAGCCCCGTGAGGCTCTCAAGAGGCCCCCCCGAAGCCCCAGCAGGCCCCCAAGGGGCCCCCAGGGAAGCCCCTTGCGGGCCTCCAAGACATTTCGGTAAATCGGATTTCCCAGATAAGTCCGGGAACATGATTCCTTCACCGCCCCGACCATGTTTCCAATAGGCTTACCGACAAGGCCAAAAGGGGCCCCTGGGTAAGCCCCCAGAGGCCCCCCTCTTAAAGAGCCGAACGAATCATGCTCCCGGAAAGCTTCCCGGGAGCATGATTCTCTATCTCGGAGTAGGCCCAGGGGGGGTGGGGGGCGGGCCGCTGCCTGTTCCTCCCATCGGTGCCCACCGGGGGTTGCGGGGGGGGTCAGAGCTCCCGAGGCGGCCCGAGCCCGCCCCGAAGCAGGCCACGACAGGCTAAGGGGGTCCCGAGAGGGCCCAAGACGGTCCCACGAGGCCCCGAAGCCCGAAGACACCCAAGATGCCCTCAAGACAGCCGACGAGGACTCCAACACGCTCTAGGATGCAATCAAGAGGCTCCCCAAGAGGGCCCTGGAAGGCAAGATTCACTCGTTTTCCGAGTGTTTTGGATTTTGGCGTTCTCGCGTTTTCCGGTTTCCAGCGCTCCCTTCACGGCTTCGGACACCCTTCAGATCGCTCCAAGAAGGCCCACGAGGCCCCGACGAGGGCCCCAAGACGGCCCAGGATGCTCCCCAGACAACTCAAGTGTGCCCCTAGAGCGCGCCAAGAGAAGGCCCAGAGGGGTCCCGAGGCGGCCCGCCCCGAATCAGGCCACGACAGGCTAATGGAGGTCCCGAGAGGGCCCTAGACGGTCCCAAGAGGCTCCGAAGACGCCCAAGCTGCCCTCAAGACGGCCGACGAGGACTCCAACACGCTCCAGGACGGACTCAAGAGGCTCCGCAAGAGGGCCCAGGGAGACAAGATTCACTAATTTTCCGATGGTTTTTGAAGGACTCAGGCGTTCTCGCTTTCCCCGCTTCCCAGCGCTCCCTCACGGCCTCGCTCGGAGGCCCTTCAGATCGCTCCAAGACGGGCCACGAGGCCCCGAAGAGGGCCCCAAGACGGCTCAGGAGGCTCCCCAGACAAACCAACTGTGCCCCAAGGGCTCCCCAAGAGAGGGCCCATAGGGGACCGCCAACCGATATTTCGAGGTCTCTGGCCCTAGAGGCCGCCTGTAGGCCCCTGGAGGCCACCAAGAGGCTCCCACGAAGCCCCGTGAGGCGCCCAAGAGGCCGCCAGGAAGCCCCAAGAGACCCCCAAGGGGCTCCGAGGGAACGCCCAAGAGGCCCCCCAATACACCCCAAGAAATCATGTCCCCAGAAAACCTTCCGGGGACATGGTTCATCATGGGCCCGAGAGTTCCCGGAGGCCCCCAAGGGGCCCCCATGGAACGCCCAAGAGACCCCCCAACACACCCCAACAAACCATGTCCCCAGAAAGCCTTCCGGGGACATGGTTCATCATGGGCCCGTGAGTCTCCGGAGGCTTCGAAGTACCATCATGCTACAGGAGAGTTGTCTGGGAAGTTGATTGGGAACATGACTGATCGCCTTCTCGCGGCCCTCCGCAGATCGTTTCGCACAAAGTTGCCCCGAGTGCCATCTTGAAGCGACGACGACGACGAAACGACGAAGACGACGACGACGACATTACGACGACGAAGACGACGACGACGACGACGACGACGACGACGACGACGACGACGACGACGACGACGACGACGACGACGACGACGACGACGACGGCGCGCCCCATAGGCGACGACGACATTACGACGACGACGACGACGACGACGACGACGACGACGACGGCACGCCCCAACAGGCTCCCCAAGACGCCCCCAAATCCATGCTCCCAGAAGCCTTCTGGGAGCCCGATTCAAACGGCCTCCGCCCCCCTACACAACCATTTTCCTCGAAGGCCTTTCGGAAAGCAGATTGGCAAGCGTGTACTGTGGTCCACTACTTCAGTGGAGCAGTGAATTCGTCAAGGCCTGGAGCCTGCTAGAACCTGAGCGCGCGCGAAGCGCGCGCGATGGTTCTAGTATATCTATATATATATATATACACGTATATACCTATACGACCACCCTTCGGATGATAAGGAGGTTCGGGGGCGAGGAACCATCGTCTCATTCGATCGGTCTCACTATCGATCTCACTATCGGTCTCGCTCGATCGATCTCACTCGATCGATCTCACAATCGATCTCACTCGATCTGGTTCATTCGATCGATCTCACAATCGATCCGACTACCGATCTCACAATCGATCTCACTATCGATCCCACAATCGATCTCACATTCGGTCTCACTATCGACCTCACTATCGATATCACAATCGATCTCACAATCGACGTCACCAACACCATCGTCATCAACGCCATCAACATCATTATCATCATCGGGACACCATCATCATCATCATCATCATCACCTCGTCACCATCATCATCATCATCAACATCAACATCAACATCAACATCAACATCACCAACAACATCATCATTATCTGGACACTATCACCGTCACCATCATCAGAATCAACATCATCATCATCGGGACACCAGCACCATCACCATCATCATCGGAACACCATCATCATCATCCCATCATCATCATGAACAACATCATCAACATCATCACCATCATCGGGACACCATCATCATCAGCAACAGCATCATCAACACCATCATCAACGGGGCACCATCATCATCGTGACCATCATCATCACCATCATCATCATCGGGGTCACCATCATCATCATCAACATCAGCATCATCATCACCATCATCGGGCCACCATCATCAACATCATTATTATCACTTCTTCATCATCCTCATCATCAACGTAATAACCATCATCGGGACACCATCATCATCATCAGCAACATCATCATCAACAACATCATCATCACCGGGACACCATCACCATCCTCAGCATCATCATCAACATCATCACCACCATCATCATCATCTTCATGATCATCATCCCATCATCATCTCATCATCATCAGGGTCATCAGCATCATCATCATCATCGTCACCGTCGGGACACCATCATCATCATCAGCAACATCATCATCAACAACATCATCATCATCATCATCATCATCATCATCATCGGGATACCATCATTATCACCGCCACCACCATCATCATCATCATCAACGGCATCGTCAACACCATCATCATCATCATCATCTTCATCATCATCGGGACACCATCATCACCACCACCATCACCATCACCATCACCATCACCATCATCATCATCATCATCATCATCATCATCATCATCATCATCATCATCATCATCATCGACACCAGCATCACCGTCATCATCGGGATACCGACGAGACACCGGCGGGACACCAGCGGGACACCGCGCGCCACCGGACGCCGGAAGGGAGGCATTTTGTCCGGCCGCGCCTCAGCCACAGCGGGACACCGGCGGGACACCGCGCGCCACTGGACGCCGGAAGGGAGACATTTGGTCCGGCCGTGCCTCAGCCACAGGAGATTCTCTTCTCGCCCGCCCACGCAGCTTCGCCTCGCCCGCACGCACGGCACGCACGAACACGAAACCGAAACCGATTTCCCGGTAGGGGGGCTCTCCGTTCCCGTTCGATCTAACCCCTTCACCTCTGATATATCTATATATATATATACACAGATAGATCGTTTGGTAGCACTCGGCACGCTTGTCACCTCTCCAACGAGCTACGGGGGCGGCTCTTCCAGTGACCTTCGGCCCATCCCACCACAGTTGTCTTTGGGGGCCCCTCTGGGGCCTCTAGGGGGCTCCTGGGAGCCTCTTGAGGCCTCCATGGTGCCTCTTTTAGCCTCTCTGGGAGGCCCCTTGGCGTGTATCGGGGCTACCTTATTCCTCCACTGCGACGGCGCCGCCGCCGCTCCGCCGCTCCGCCGCTGCACTTGTGCGCCGCCGCTGCCGCCGCCGCCGCGCGCAGCGGGCCGTGATCCACGCTTCCCAGGCGCGCTGGCTGACGAGGCGAGCGCGCGGCGCCTCCCCGCGGCTCGCACCGTGTCGTCGCCCGGCGGGCCGGCACACGCGGCGTGTGCCAGGGCACCCGAACCGCGCCTCTCCTCAGCGGCGTCCGCTACCGCCAACGGCGTCGCCGTCGGCCGTCGTCGCCGTCGCCGTCGCCGAGGTCGTCCTCGCCTTCCGTCTTCGTCGGCGTCCCCGCGAGGACCAATAGCCGCCAAGGTCGGAGAGCCGCCCGCGTCGGGCGGTTCCCGCCCTTCCGCGGCGAGCGCCGGCCTGCAGCCGCGTAGCGGGGCGGCCGGGGTCGCACCGCCTTCGCGGGGGCCGAAAAAAAGGCATCGGCCGCCCGCATTCGCGCCCGCAGTGCAGTAGGGACCATCGGGGCCGAACACACGCACCGGCTCACTCAGCGCACCTCATCATGCACACGCACGCACACTTTGAGCGCCGAAGACCGAGCCAATCATCAGGCAGTTCGAAAATAGCCACCAGCGCGCACGCACCCTCGCACCAGCAATGTAAGAAAGAAGGCATTCACGCGGAGAAACGCATGTCCAAAGCGGGCCAGAATTGGACGGCAAGGGGCCAGCAAGATAAGGGCAAGGGGTGCCACGCAAAGCGAGGACGGAAGCGAGGAGCGAGGAGCGACAGCAAGCAGCCGAGGGAAACAGACGGACGCACGCCATGAACAACGGGCCGACCGACAGAGGAGGGGAAGCCGAGGGAAACAGAGGAGGCACAACACACCACAAGGGTAAGGAAATACACGAAGAGGGGAAGGAGTCAGCCGAGGGAGGTGAGGGAGGAGGAAAGGAGGCACAACACAATGGTAGGGCCGGGCGAATAATTGTATAACATTTTTTCCACCCTCGGGAATGCCTGCCCCCCAGGCGGCTGCAAGGTTTACACCCCTACGGTGCCGCGTAGGGTTATAAATTTTGCAGCCGCCTGGGAGGCAGGCGTCCCCGAGGGCGGAAACGTTTCTTTTCTACCGTTCTTCGGCCCCCGAAGGAAAGAAGTGGGCGGGCCCAGCTCAGCGGGTCCGGGAACGGGATCTCCTCCCGCCCGCCAGTTCTTCAAGGCGCGCTTCCTGAACCTCGCTCCGTCGTGGTATCCACGACGCCCACGCATCCAGGTGGCCCCGATGCTCCTCCTTCTGGAGGGTTGCCTGAATAGCTGAACGCATCGGATGTTGGTTTCCTCCAGGTGGTGCGCGTTCTGGTCCCATGGGGGGGGGGCGGGGTCGGAAGGGGTGGTCGGAGGAGCCGCCGCAAACGGCGACGGGGGGGAAAGCGGGTGGGAGAACGGATGGAGCAGACGCGGGGAGGGGCGTCAGAAGCCCAGTCGGGGGAGTCCGGACCCCGCGCGGGGGTGGCGCTGGGGCGGCGCCGATCTGCCGAGCGGCAGAGAGGGACACCCTGATCACGTAGGGGCACGCGGGCTCCCCGAGGGGGGGGCGGCCACAGGGGCTGGGGAAAGGCCCCAGCCCGAGGGGCCGCGTCGGACGGCCAGAGAGGAGTGACGGAGATGCCGTGGCTCCAGCTGGCGTGCGGCCCGCCATCGTGTCAGGCGCGGCGTCGGCGACGGCGCCAGGGTAGCTAACTCTCCCGTGGTCTGTTCCTGGGGGCGTTTCCCCGGTTTGGCCGCCTCCGTGCGTGAGTGGTCATCTCTTGCGTCGTCGATCGATGTGTGTGGTCACGCCTTGTAGGGCGCGATGAGGTACATCATGGCGCGGCCAGACGCAGTTGGTGGAGGAGGACACGGTCGAGGTGTCGAGTTGGCTTGCAGGGCCCTTTGCCGGCGCTGAGTGGGAGAGCTTTCCGTGGTACTGCGCAAGTCAATGGTGCGGCAACCCCGCAGCAGGTTCGGTTGCCACGAGGACGTTGTGGCCTTGCGCAGTGAAGGCGCCAGTTGAACCCGCTTTGCGTGGAGATTCGCGGTGAGTCGCCGGGAATGCACCAGCAATCAAGGAAGCCCCCTTGGGAGCCAGCAGGTCCGCCATGTCCGCATCTGGCAATCAGCGCAAGGATGAGGATGGTGAGGAGGATGAGGTGGGTGAGCGTTTCTTGCCATCAGTGGGTCAGTGGGTCAGGTGGGGAGGAGGAGGAGAAGGAGGATGACGCTGACAATGACAAGGAGCCAGAAGGAGGGGCACAATATCAGTTCTGCAGAAATTTCTCTGGGTCAGCGCTTTGTCGTAGAAATTACTCACTGCGTGGAGATCCCCATATGTGCATCTTTTTAAAAGGATAATTGTCAGTGGGATCTGTGAATGCGCGTCTAGCCATTTGGGCGCTTGGGAATGCTCCTGGGGCCTCTCGGGGCCTCCTGTTGTCTTCCGAGACCTCCTAGCGCTTCCTCTGGCCTCCTGGGGCCTCCTGTGGCTTCCTGAGGCCTCCCGGAGCTTCCTGGGGCCTCCTAGAGCCTCTTGGGACATCTTGTGGCCTCTTGAGTCTTTATTATGTGGCCTCCTGATGCCTCCTGGGACCTCATGTGGTCTCCTGGGGCCTGATGCCTCCTGGAGCCTGTTGGGGCCTCCTGTGGCATCCTGAGGAGAATCTGTGCCCACGAGTCTGGCCACCGACCGAGACATCCTCAAAATCTGGCCCACCTGGGGGGTGAAAATGAGCGCCTCGCTCGAGACTTCCTCCAAATCTGCTCCGAAAGCGAAGGATGTTGGGACAGAAAACAAGCAAACCGCTTGAGACATCCCCACAAAACGGCCGCGAACGGGACCGTGAAAACACCCCTGGCGGCCCCCCTTCCCCTTTAGAGGGGTGAAAATGAGCGCCTCGCTCGAGACATCCTCCAACTCTGCTCCGACAGCGAAGGATGCTGGGACAGAAAACAGGCAAACCGCTTGAGACATCCCCACAAAACGGCCGCGAACGGGACCTTGAAAACACCCTTGGCGCCTTTCCTTTAGGGATGCTGAAAATGAGCGCCTCGCTCGAGACATCCTCCAACTCTGCTCCGAACGCGAAGGATGTTGGGACAGAAAACAGGCAAACCGCTTGGGACATCCCCACAAAACGGCCGCGAACGGGACCGTGGACAGAAAACATGCAAACGGCCTGAGACATCCCCACAAAACGACCGCGAACGGGACCTTGAAAACACCCTTGGCGGCTCTGCTTAGGGATGCTGAAAATGAGCGCCTCGCTCGAGACTTTCTCCAAATCTGCTCCGAAAGCGAAGGATGTTGGGACAGAAAGTAGGCAAACCGCTTGAGACATCCCCACAAAACGGCCGCGAACGGGACCGTGAAAACACTCCTGGCGGCTCTCCTTTAGGGATGCTGAAAATGAGCGCCTCGCTCGAGACCTCCTCCAAATCTGCTCTGAAAGCGAAGGCTGATGGGACAGAAACAGGAAAACCGCTTGGGACATCCCCACAAAACGGCCGCGAACGGGACCGTGAAAACACTCCTTGCGGCCCCCCTTCCCCCTTAGAGGGGTGAAAATGAGCGCCTCGCTCGAGACATCCTCCAAATCTGCTCCGAAAGCGAAGGATGTTGGGACAGAAAGTAGGCAAACCGCTTGAGACATCCCCACAAAACGGCCGCGAACGGGACCGTGAAAACACCCCTTGCGGCCCCCCTTCCCTTTTAGAGGGGTGAAAATGAGCGCCTCGCTCGAGACATCCTCCAAATCTGCTCCGAAAGCGAAGGATGTTGGGACAGAAAACAAGCAAACCGCTTGAGACATCCCCACAAAACGGCCGCGAACGGGACCGTGAAAACACCCCTAGCGGTTCCCTTTAGGGATGCTGAAAATGAGCGCCTCGCTCGAGACATCCTCCAACTCTGCTCCGAAAGCGAAGGATGTTGGGACACAAAGCAGGCAAACCGTTTGAGACATCCCCACAAAACGGCCGCGAACGGGACCGTGAAAACATCCCTGGCGGCTCCCCTTAGGGGGGTGAAAATGAGCGGCTCGCTCGAGACATCCCCCAAAGCGAAGGATGTTGGGACAGAAAACAGGCAAACCGCTTGAGGCATCCCCACAAAACGACCGCGAACGGGGCGTGCGTGAGTCTCAGCATGAGTAAGTCTGAGTAGGAGTAGGTCTGAGTATGAGTAGGTCTGAGTATGAGTAATTCTCTGTGTGTGTGAGAGTAAGTCTGGGTATGAGTACGTCTGAGTGTGAGTCAGTTTGTCTATGAGTAAGTCTGGGTATGAGGAGGAGAGGGGAGGAGAAAGAGGAGGAGGAGGAGGAGGAGGAGGAGGCGTCCAAGTAATAACAAGAACCCCATCTTAGGAGATGGGGAACAAGTTACCCGCTGCTGTAGAAGAGTCGGGTCTCGAGGGGCTCCTCGCGGTCTGTAGGTCCCAGGAGGCCCCGGCCGCCAGAACAAAAACACTCGAATCCTGAAACATCGCTTCCGGTCGTCAATCATCCAGGCCAACTCCCTCATCAACGTCCACGTCGTCTGCGTCCACGCCGTCTAACCTGCCCACTTCCGCGTGAGCGCCGCAAAACAACGGGGTCGTTTGCCCTGACATTCGTGCGTAAGCTGACCGCGTAAGATCGCGCGTGCTCGTACTCGTCCCCTCGTGCTCGCGCGCGCGGGGGTCGAGGGGCCAGATCGTCGGACATCGTCCAGTCGATTGCAAAAGCTTCGCGGCCCGCTTTCGCCGACCATGTGAAATGGAACGTCGACGGGGGCCCAAGCCACTGGCGGCTATAATGCGAAGGCGAAACTCGAAGGCTTGGCCCATCCCGCCACTGCGCCTGGGTCCGTTGCACAGGTCCCTCTGTCCAGGGTCCATTCTTATGTTCCTCGGCTTCCAGCGCTGCGACAGTTGCGTTCTTTTGGGCCCCATGTTGTGGGCCTTTCTAGCCCTCCTGAGCGGCCTCTTGGGCCACCTTGGGCTGGTCTTGGTGGTATCGTGGGCCATCTTGCACGCTCTTGCGACCGACGCGGCAAGAATGTCAAGACCCCCAGGACCGCCACGACGGCCCCCGAGACTCCCACGAGTGTCGAGGCTGGCCCTTCGAGGGCTCTGGAGTGCCCAGGCAGCCCAAAGAGAGCCAAACTGGTCCCAAGATTGCCTGAGTCACTGCAGGGAGGGGGTCGGGCGGGGCGGGGGCAAAATCCCCCGGGGACCCTGCCGGGAATCCCCTCAACCCCTGAGCGCCCCCCCGTCGGACCCCTCCCGGGATTCCCGTGGGACCCCCCGGCGGGGAAGGGATTAAACGGAAGGGATCTTGT